CGTCAACTTCCTTGGCAATAATATTTCGTTGCCAAGTCTAAGTTCGATGTTCCAGAGGAGGTTCGACAGTAGAAATTATCGAAATATTCAAAGAAGTTCCTGATCAGGCAGGCGATTTGCGGATGTGGTGAAATAAGCGCTCCCTTCATCACTTCCCGAACAACCAACGGTGCAATTTACACGGAAGGGCGACAACGCTCTGATGAGACAACGAAACCTTACCCCCAAGCTCCTCCCCTGATCCTATCCTTCGACAATGTACCCAACTCCTACTAGACATAGAATTAAGTGAATTTTGTTACAAACAAAGAACAATGAACTACCGGATCCGTAAAGCTAACGCGATTGAGCCTTCCAAATAAACGAATTAGTTAAAAATTTACACTGATGAGTGAATTAAGAAACGTCTCTTGGCATTCATAAGGAAGCACAAAGGATCTGCACTCTGTTTTGGCCTGATCTAGCAACCTGCCACTACGCTCGAAACGTGTTGGAGAGGTACCGAGCCAACGGAATCTATTTTGTGCCAAAAGATATGAACCTGCCAAATTTACCGGAACTTCGCCCAATCGAAAAATTCTGGGCAGTTATGAAGACGAAACTTCGCAAACATCCCAAAACTATTAAAACAGAGCTGGAGTTGAAGAAACTCTGCATACTGTGCCGAAACACATCACGGCACACTGCTAGGCACGCTAGCCACAAATTGACAAATATGACACAGAATATATTATAAAACGGCATCACTGTTTTTGCTGACGATTTTTCAATAGTTGCTAAGGTTTCGCACTTTGTTGACAGTCGCTGATCTTCGCTTTAGGATGAATTTAATAAATCCATCGGACTAGACGATCGTATCCCGGAAGTCAAACCTATAGGACTTTGCTCGGATCTCTACTGCAGCCTGTACTTCGTCTAATTCCCTGCAATAGTTGTTAAAGTGGGTGATAAATAGCAGCGCCGAGATCATAACCAGCAACAGCAATAACTAGATCACCCTCAGGGTCATCCATTTTTGGAACCAACGTGATTGAAACAATTGCTTATCGTTTCCGGTAGCGACAATATCGAAAATCATAGTATACATGGGTCAGTTCCACAGGCACGGTGGTTAAATACATAGCGTCATACAAATCATCCTCCTCGGATGATCGATCTTCATATCCACCGGTAGCTCATCCTGTTTATGATACCCTATTGTGAAGTCTTCGACATATTAGACAGGCTTTCATTAAACATCGTTCAGGGTCCAGGTGTGAGAGCTGCCTTCATAGCGTCGGTAGCATTGGTGCTCAGAACAGAAAACAAGATCGACGGAAAACAAATCAAAGAAAAAATAATTGTTTTATGTTTTATTCGTCTAACAATCCAGGTATACGTCAATATAAATTAACTGATATCGTCGATATCTCACAAATAACAGTTCACTTATTCAAATAGGAATGAACAATAGATGGAGGATCAACGACTGACCATCTGGTGGAGAAGAGTAAAGTGAGCGTGGCCTTCGAAAGATTAAAAACATAGGGTTAACTACCCCATTTTCGGTCTATTAAGCACAACCCGCACATAGTCCTTCTTTATCTAGCGTAGTTTAGCACCAAACGGAATGTTATTATTACTGATGGCTTCCAAATTTATTTACATTTCCGTATGTACCGTAAGATTTGATAAAGAGAAACCAATCGTTGAGATATTGTCAAAAGTCTAACACTACTTCTTGACGCCAAACTCGGCCTACGGATTCTATACTCGGCCTAGTGCATTGAAACGCCATTGCAACGCCAATGAATTCACTTTGGCCTATCGGATGAAGATAAAAATTGATTCGGTCAGAGCGCTTTTTTTTTGTTTTTGGAAATAATGCGTGCAAACCTTCATATCACGCGTTCTCATTGACTACGATCGGTAGCTTATTAACTAAATAAAGTATCGTGCCAAACGCATAATTGACTTGTTAACTATGAAATAATGGATTTATTTGAAGTTTTCTGCTCGATAGGCCCAAAACGGGCGATTAGGCCGAAGTAGTTCTCTACCCTACCAGCCTTCTCCAGATAATGAGAATAGTTGACAATCGGAATAACAACCGGCAGCAAACCACTGAAGCTGTTAGCTAGAGATTGGCTGGTTTCCGATCCATAGCAGCTATTTTATTCGGCGAAAGAAACAACTCTTCAACAATTTCTTTCAAGCGTACATCCCTCCTGCATCGTTGGATGGTGCACTTCAGTAACCATTCAGGGGATCTTTTTCGGGAACGATTGCGCTTTCAGCTGTTCGAAATGCGAAATGTTGTAAACCAGTATCGCAAACTATCTGAGTAACTGCTCACAAACCATCGGGAGAAAACCGCCTGGAAGAACGCTGAATCGTACAGCGCAACTATCGAAAGATAAACAAACTTTGACGTTTAACTTTTTGCAGGCAAGTTTGCCGCCATAAATCTGAACGGGTTAGGATCAAGCAAAATGGATTTAGATAAATACAATTCAGCTTGCAAGTTTTCTTCATAAAAGCCATATTAAAACCTTATGAATTCGTTAAGGATTTCTTGAAATCAAAACAACTTTTTCACAAATGACCCGTGAAAATCAACTGTTATCCCATCGCCATGTTACAATTAGTTTGCTTGTTTTTTTTACAATCTTCGATTTTCAATCATATAACTATATTTTGGTAAATTTAGCAATAAGCAAACATTTCAATGCGAAATTCATTAAAAAAAATCTCGGCCAAGCTCGATCTGGAGAATAATTTTTTTTTTTTCACTGTAAAATAATTAGTCGAACCGAAGTTTTACGTGAGCGGACTTATTTTTTTCAATTTGTTCACGTACATTTCACAAAACATTTAACAAGGCACATAAAAGTAGGTTAAGTGGCTTAGAGAACTATTGTGATAAATTCGAATGTTCAACAAGATTTTTATACCATCAGTTTCTATTTTAATTATTTTGATAAGGTCGGATTCATAAATCCTTTTCAATCTTGATTGATGCTTTCCTAGTGGATTTAGCAAGCGGCTAGGGAAATGGCTCAGAAAGAGTTTTTATTGGTGCTAAATAGCTTTTATTGTAGCTTTCAAATGGTTCTCAATGCGTTCGTCATACAACCTTTTGCAGTAAATCAATCTTGAAGAGCTTCGAGAATACACCCTTCAGAACCTTCTCCAAGATGGGCCAACTAGACATATTCTAGGTTTAATGAGGTTTTGGTGGATACATTAATGACAAAATAGCCTTGACCAAGGTTTTATGAATGTTGTTTTATAGTTGCTTTGTAGTATTTCATAAAACTTAAAACTTAAAATGTTACTTGGGAACAGAATCACATTCGACATCTCGAAATTGTTCACCTCGAGGAAATCAAATGATAACCAGCATGATTGTTCGTTTTACAAGACTAGAACACACTCACACACACACACACACACACACACTGTTAACACTCCTGTTTTTTTTCAGGATCAGTGCCTGTTGTTATCAATTACCATCACAAGCAATGACTAGCGCTTCAACCCAGTGTAGATGAATTTTGCTTTTGTTTTCGTTGTCATGTACGAGCGAAATGAAAAATAAAATGAGTTCATTAAACATCGACGAATGTGTGTTTGATAATATTCATCAATGCTTGAGTATCCACCCCAACATTGTCAAAGCGATCCTAACTTGCAAAAATAAAATCACTTTGGGAGAAATATTATTTTGAAAATTATTTATCCCAGAGGCAAAAACCTCGATATTATGATCAATTCAACATGAGATAATATTTTCCCATCAATCTGAGTGTGAAAAACAACACAACACCTTCTACAACGCTATATTTGCGTGAAATGATAATAATCATTTTCGTTTGGTACTGAAAATAATCGCCACCAAGATGAAGAAGAATATTTTTGACAACAACACAAGCGAAAATGAACATCCATCTACGAATGAATAAAAACAAATGCTGACTTCGAAACTCAGCGGTTGCTTTGATCAATTAAATGTTATCATGTCAAAATTCAAATTAATGCAGTTAGTTGGTTTATCTTTTAAGGTTACCTTCATTTTCAGCTGATTTATAACCAATATTCAAATGTTTTAAGGGTTTTTCTACTGTTTATGCATGAGCAGTTTTTTTTAGGTAACTGTTTCATGGGCTTTGGCATCATGATTAAAACATGAAATCGTGTCACGTATCCTTCTATAAAATGCTGATAATTGTTTTCACACACCAATATTTTTAAATTGGATATTTTTTAGGCTGATAGCTTCCAACAAGTGTATGATGTGGAGGATGAACCAGTGCCTGATTCGTCGGGCAATACTCGCGATGAACAGGAGAATACATTCTCCACACGAGCGAGAATAAAACCCGCCCGTCATCTATCATGATTCTTATATATTATGAGAGAAATTTCACGTTCAAGATTCCAAAACAAGATCAAATATCAAATTTCAAGATAACCATTCATTATGGAGATCAAAATTTTTTACTGGAATGATAAATGTCTGGCAATGCCTACAAACAAACTCTTCCAGTCAATCCCCCTGAGCATCCAAACTCATATGATGTGGTGCAGTCTTCCTACATCTTCTTTGATCTATGAACACAACACGCGATGACCACACATAACGTTTTCGTATCTATTTTCTCTCTATTCCCGCTAATGTTGGTATTCGATCTATTCTTCGTCCACCACCGCCATAGCAAAGAAGAAGAAAATGAACCATCGAAAGCAGGGTTCGTCGCTTGTGGACGCTTACTGTCACTCACGTCAAAGCCGGTGTGTCGCATTTTCGGCACCGGCACACTCTAGCTCATGGATCAACGGAACGAGGCCGATCATAAAGACGACCAAATTAATGTGCCTCTAGTTGGGAAGCCAAAGTTTATTACAATCATTTGGGTTATTTGTTGACAGCATATTTGGCTGTTTTATTCTTCGCTCAGCGGGTTACATTCGACTGATTTGACTGGATATATATTTTGAATTTTTTTCGGCTCACTTACAACGATCACACACAGCTTCATTTCAATCCTCGTTTTCCAGCATTTAAATCTCATCTCCACACAAAAAATACTAATCCAAATCCACAGCAACTCAATTTTCAAGTCACGATTGCGTTCTTCCACTTTGTCACTGGAGACAAATTACCATTTCCTCTTTCAGAAGATGGAATGGAATTTACACGACAGTCCACACTTATTTCAGCTTCCAAAGTGTCCGTTCCACCGACGATGTAATACTAAATTACACACAGAATCTCACATAAACTAAAATTTAAACCGTTCGGTTCTTCTCCGTTTGCGGTCGCACTGTTTGCGGAAGTCCACTCACTGTCTGACTGGTTTAATCCATTCGTTTGACAATTGTATTTATAACACAGGCGCGTGTAAATGCGCCGAACCTCAGATGTGGCCAAATTATATTTTCGCACTGTTTTCACCAGTTCCGATGACGAAGACGGGATTGTTCCTATACCAACCGAGTAGGACAACGTAAGCCATTCAAAAAAGGTACTTGCTAATAGAAGCAAAATGAAGAAAGTGTTCTTTCATCACAACCGGGTGCTCGATCAGAGCAATGTGCGGGATCAGTTGTTGACGCGTCGCAGCTCGTAGAGTGAAATTTAAAATTTCGTCATCTCAACTATGTAGATGGCCACCGTCGGCGGTTGATGAGTTTGCCTAGGAGGAAGAAGATCGAGAGCTGGGAGGAAGCTGACCGAAAATAGATTCTTTCGTTTCTTTTCTTTAACGTTTCGATGAGTGAGTTTCTAGTATAGGATGGCTTCTAATCGGAGCAGCAAATCCTAATGATCATAAGGTATTTTATCTCGAAAGATCCTCCATAAATTAATGTATTTGAGAGAAGCATCTTGCCTTCCATCGCTTAAGGCATTTTTCATTGGCTTTTTAAATACCAAGCAAACTTTATACTCATTCTAAATATACCCCTTCAATAAAAAAGCCACATCCCTCGCAAAAAAAAATGGCTAATGCTAGATCTCTCATTTAGCGCGAGGTACCTACCAATCCAGTTTCTTCGGTATGATTATTTTGTCATTTGTCTCTTCCTTTATTAACGACGTCAATGACTTGACTCAAAGTTTGCGGGGTTTGAAGATTTTTTTTTTGTTTGCAATATATTTTCGTGATAACTCCGGTAAGTCCTGTATTTATCCACCGATAGTGAGATCTGACTCTTTTAAGTGTTTGAATTCTGGCAAAATTGCTCAAATTCAGAATTTAGGAAAGAGAAGAAAACTAATGTATTCATGATATGTGGGTCTGCGTCTGATTTTTTGTGTGATACGTTTTTTTTCTTATGCTTCTTCGCATTTTAAGCTTACTACTTATCACATATTAGCTTATGGGGTGCTCCCAACTTAGTTTTCTAGATGCAATTCCACAGTTATTAATTGAGATATTTCGATGCCTGTACCATATATGTACTATATGCCCAGGGAAGTCGAGAAATTTTCCTAACCGGAAAAATTGCTAGGCCGGACCGGGAATCGAACCCAGCTACTTCCAGCATGGTCTTGCTTTGTAGCTGCGCCTTTTACCAAGTTGGGCGTTTTCTTAATCATAATTGCTTGAAGTTAGCTTAGCCACAATTTTGCCGAGGAAGGTACACCTTCGAATAAGGAACATTGAATAAAAAAATGTGTCTTTTTATTTCAATGATTATAAGAACCACCTTATCCAACCTACAATTTTGTTCACATTACTGAATTGCTACTCTGCTAAGTGAGTAGTAAGCAAGGAAAAAAATAAATCGTATAAAGTGCATAGAATTCAACTATACGTATAAATGTGGAGGCCTTATACTTGCATGTGGAAAAATACTCCTACATCGTGTGATTTCATATGATTCAATATGGTACTTTATAAAACTCCATGTATAACTTTATCTTGTATCTAATATGATTTTGTTTATGCCAATATATAATTTCAAATGTTATTTGTACGACTTTCAAATTACATTTCTAAAATTATGGCAATCCATATAGTCAGTCCAAAAAGCAAACAGCAAGAAAAAAATATCTTTTAAGGTCTTTCGCTGTGAGATCCTTATTCTCGTAACCACTTCGAAACTTTAAGTGCACAAATATCAGCTTCCTCAAACGTACCACATTGAAACTGTTACTTCACGTTTGCTTTACTGCAGTATACATGAAGTAGCAATTTCAGGTGAAATGGGGCATGAATTTCCGAGATTTGTGTAATTGAAAATTCGAAGTGGAAGTGCCTACGTGGTGGCCATTTGTGGACTCTACAAGGAATCACCTTAAATGAACCTTCAGTTTTTTAAAATAGGTGGTGCCTGGTGATATTGGTATGAATAGAAGTTGGAAATTGAAGTACAATGAGTTATCTTTTGAAATGATTAACATATTTAATGCTTATAGTCAATATTACCTGCAATACATAGTTTCGAACCAAAGATCTTTAGCTCCGTAGTCCTGCTGCAATCCTAGCTAGCATATGAGCACGTATATTTGGAGCAAAAAAATTCAAATTATTCTGCCTCGCGTGTATACGTAATTAAATCTGGTGCTTAGTGCTTAGAGCAGTGCAGATTGCATTATACAATCTTGTTCTGCATGATATATGACTCATATAATTACAACTGTACATTTATGTGATTGGTTTAGCTCAATTAATTACGTTTTTGAAGAACGGTTAGGAACATTTTATTAAGGCTATGAAAAATTAACATGCAAAAACGAAAATAGAAAAACTGGTAGCTCTGTACTGATCAGATATCAACAATCAAAACAAACATTTGTTCCGTAGTCGTCGTTCGATTAATTAGTGCACTTTAGCATCCACGGGTTTACTCGCTCCATAGTAAATTCCGATAGCCATTTGCTGAATATGAGGAAGCTCATGAATATTGGCAACAATTGACCAGAAATGATTTGCACTACTTTTGTAGATGGGAAGTTCATCAATATTTATATTGATGGATACAAACATATCGGTGGTTACGTGTTTAATTCGATTTTGAAGACTTTTTCCTAAACCATGGTGCCAATGTTTCCCGTTATCCTCCATATCTATTATTTCTAGATATCTAGGAGTTCTCATCAGTGTCCTAGGGTCTTTCAGAAGGTCTCATTGCAAATGAGTGTTGAGAATATCAGTCAAGGATTTTAATGCGGCTTGGGATAATTGGGCTTGAGATGCCCATTCTCGGATTGCCGACGTTAGGTTTGCTGAAAAATGTTAACACACAGTTGATACAACTCCCATATTGTTGTTAATTGGTAAAATACCTTCAGAAGGTTGATAAGGTCATATCAGGAAGCTCATCAAGTGTAGGCAAATAATCCACAGGACCGTTGAAACTAACTATCGATTTGGAATCTGGCAGTGGATGAGGTGAAAAATCGAGTTTTTTTTCCTTTTCTGTATGCACCCTCCATTTTTTCTTGCTGCAAAAGTAATCGGCTGTATTCTCCATTTTTCGAATACGTGTTAATTTATTTTTCATCACAAAGGAATATATTTGGCTATTACTTTTTTTCTAAGATGGTCCAATATATTGTTTTGATGTATACATAAAAATGATTATCAACATTTTTCAAATAGAACGCGTTAAATAATTCCTTTTTGACATTAAACGACCTCATATACCTATAATCTCGCAAAGAGGATTATAATTGAATCATAATGTTTCATCTTAAACAATTTCAACCAATTTGAAATTGCATCTTATGCAATTTCAACTTGATTTGGATATTTATACGATTTTAAACGAACATCCTTTTACGATTTGTGATTTGCTGGGTATTTGACAAAAAAATGAGGGATTCACTGTAAGGAACAACTTTGTAAAAGATTTTTTTTTTCTTTCAAAAGATTAAATTTCAGGCTCTAATGCTGAACAAATATTTCAAATAACAGCCTGCTATTTTATTCAATTAACAGTATTGATTACTGTTCCAAATAATTCATACTTAGGGGCCGTTTATTAACTACGTAGACAGTTTTTTTTATTATTGAACCCCCACAATCCCCCCCCCTGCGTACACAATTGTCCTTACAAAAAATTTAAATTTGTATGGGCCGTGGATAATTGCCGACCCCCCCCCCCCAAGCTGTCTACGTAGTTTATGAACAGCCCCTTATTGACATTTCGAATACGTAAAGATTTTAAACGAAATATGCAAAAATATGACTAACGATTCTCCTGAAAATCAAGAATAATTGTATAACGATTAATAGGCGTAAAGTTGTTCGTCATAAAATTTCCTATCCATGAGCAGCAATAACTTGATTACATATAAGACTTATTTTGATACCCACCATAACTGATTTTCATTATGCACCTAAAACATATAGATTTCTTATAATTTAATAAAAAATGTCATTAAATGAGTTTTTTGTTCATTTTCGTTCACAATTTGTATTTTTTTTCCAAAATGTATTTTTTCTGAAAACTCAATCCAATTTCCTACAACTTTGTCATAGACGTCATTTCGATTAGATTAACCGTTTTCGTGCTATGATTTATTTAAAATAACGATTACGCCATTTTGAAAATTTAGTCGAGAGTCAAAATGACCGAATTCCAGCACGAACTTGGTTCATTGCCCTTAGTGAATTATGCTAAGTTTCATGGAATTCGAAGAGGGTAAAATAAAATAGAGTCGTCAGTTGGCGTGGATTATCTCGAAAAAAAGGGGACGCGCGGGTTGTGCTTCATAGGACGAACATAATAGGGTGTCCCAGAAAGTATGAAAACACTTTCAACTCGCTGCCATTTCTACCCCGATGAAGTTTATCAGCTGTTCATCGATGTGTGTTGTTGTTTACTTGCTGCTCAACAAGTTTGTGTGCGCAAAGTGCATTTTAATTTACGAAATCATCAAAATGCGAGACATTTCCCCGGCAACATGCAAACAGATCGTGCACAAATGGTGCACTATTCCCAACCTATCAGTAAGGAAGTTGGTGAAAATGGAGGAATTAAGTACATACTGCCATCCGGAAGTTCGGTGAAGAAGTTACCATCGAGGACACATCGAAATCTGGCCGTAAACCGGGACC